GACTGACCGAGGGCCTTACCCACCATACCCCCTGCTGGTCAGTTTGTCTTCTTTTTTTTAATTTTTTTTTTTTTTTTTTTCTATAAGGCACGCATGCTTTCCAGAGAGACAGAGGGACAGAAAGTGAGAAATCACCCGTCCCTGGGGAGATGGTCACGCCATGATCCCTTCTTCTCCATTCTCCTCTTGGAATTTTGGGCATGCACACTCGTATGCCTGGTATGAGTTTAAGCCACTGGGTCTAAGATTCGAACTGTGGTCAACTACATGAGAGTCCAGCAACATAATCATTATGCCATCTGCTGGTCCTTCAATCTTTGATCTTATTCAAGATGGTTTTGGCTATTCAGATTCCCTTGAGATTCCATATGAATTTTAGGATAGATTTTTTTAAAGAATTATTTTTTCTTTCTTTGTCTCTTTTCTTTCTTTCTTTTAATTTTGACCAGAGAAGGACAGAGAGAGAGAGAGAAAGAGAGAGAGAGAGGGAAAGTGAGAAATTGCCAGGTCTGGGACTCAAACCACAGCCAGCCATGTGGGAATCCAGCGCTCTTAAACACCATGGCACCTGCCAGCCCCTAAGATAGATATTTTTATTTTTGCCAAAAATGTTATCAGGATTTTGAGACCCAAAGGCTTTTTTTTTAAGAGAAATTTTTGTTATAGGGCACACACGCTCGCCAGAGAGACAGAGAAACAGAAAGTGAGAAATCACTCCCCAGGGGGTATAACAATGCTGCAACCCCTTCTCCTCCATTTTCCTCTTATAATTTTGGGTGTGTATGCACATGTGTCTGGCATGTTTTAAGCTGCCAGGTCCGGGGATCAAACTGTGGTGGACCATGTGGGAGTCCAGTGACATAACCATTATACCATCTGCTGATCTCAATCCAAAGGATTAAGAACAGGATCCATAATATTCCATTTAAAATGGGTTGTTTTCATGTAACGGTCTCAAAACTCAGAAAATCTGTACCTCCTGTAAGGAGAACACGTAGAATAGGGACAGACTAGGAGTCTAGGATGGGAGCAGAGCAGAGAGGCAGGGGCTTGGGCAGCCAACAGCACAGGACTCAGGCTTTCTTGGGCTGGCCCCATGGCCTAGTGCTTAAGGGGGCTGGATCCCACAGGGCCAACCATGATTTGAATCCTGGACCTGGTGGTTTGAAAAACACACTAGGTGTGTGTGCACGTGTACTCAAAATTCCAAAAGGATGGAGAAGTGGAGAAGGGGTTGTGGTGTGGCGTGTGCCATCACGGGGTGTTTGCTCTCTCCTTCGTTTCTTTCTGCTGAGTGCACATACCCTCTGGCAATTAAAAAAGAAGGGGAAAAAAAGAGAGAGAGAGAAAGAAAACAAGCCTTCCTGAACCCTGGAAACTTTGGGGAAGATGCCGAGGTTCCCCTGCTGGCAGCCTATTTAGCTCCCACAGGCTAGGGCCACCCAGCCTGGGCAGTTGTCAAACTTGGGGAATTTGCCTGGCCTTACCTCTCCATGGGCAGACCGTGTGAGGACCAGGCCTGGAGCGGAAGTTCTACTAGGCCTGGACCTTGGCAAGGGGTGAATACGCGATTGCACACGCGAGTAGCTCTGGCTGTGGCGGGGCGAGGGAGAACATCCCAGCTAGGGGCCCTGTCCATGGCCCCTCCATGGGTAGACACTGCCACCTTCTGGCTCTCTGTCAAGCTAAGACATACCTTTTCCTCACCAAGAGACAATAAATAGACTTAATGAGGTTTCCTTTACCTGCTAACAACCCTAGCTTCCTGGGGTCCCATGCAGGTCGCCAACGTCAGAGTCTGTAGACTCCAATCTTTATGGTCCCATGTTTAAAAACAATCTTTTGGTGACATGGAGGAAGATGCTGATCCCACATGGGCGGTAGCACAGCTGGTGTCTCAGACCCAACAATCACACTGAGCATGTGTGCATGCATGCCCCAAATTCTGAAAGGAGACTGAAGAAGAAGGGATTTCAGTGTGGCCATATCCCAGGTGGAGTGGCTTTCTCACTTTTTTTGTCTGTGTCTCTCTCTGGCGAGCACACATACCTTATGGCAAAAAAATCGTAAAAAAAGGAAAAAAAAGGATCCGGCAGGTGGCGTGGTAGTTAAGGGCACTGGACTCCCATGTGGCCGACTGCAGTTCGAGTCCCAGACCTGGCAGCTCGCTTTCTCTTCTTCTGTTCCTCTTTGGCCAAATGAAAATAAATAAATAAATAAATAAATAAATAAATAAATCTAATTAAAAATAAACAAGTATATTTTGGGGCTGGCAGTAGCATACCACTCTGCTAATTTACAGCCATATGAACAACTGGGGTTTAGTTTATGGAGATAAAGTTCATTCAGAAAAGAGATTGCTATAAATAAAAACCCATGTGCCTATGTTTGTATGCACACATATATGTACATGTATACATAAATGTGTGTGTATAAATATATATGTATATTTTTAAGGCCAGAGAACTAAGAGGAAGAGGGGGGTGACTGACTGGTTTGCTTACCAGTTGAATACATAACTGACTGTCACAAGACATTCTTTCTCAAGAAAATTCCAGGCAGGGCCAGAAGGTGGCTAGATCCCCCGCGGCAGACTGTGTAGTTCGAGAGTCGGACCTGGTGACCTAAAAAATACACTGGGCGTGTGTGCGTGCATGTGTTCAAAATCCTGACAGGAGAATAGAGGAGAAGGGACTGTGATGTGGCCATCGTCCCCAGGGGTGCTTTCTTGTTTTCCCTCTCTGTCTCTTTAGCAAGCAGATGTGTGCTATAGTAAAATGAAAAAGAAGAAAATTCCAGTTTAGGCTGATCCCACACAACCATCACTGCTAATATGCTGCTTCAGACGTTTGGGCTAATTGCAGTTTCACCCAGGCCTCCCATGTGGTCCGACCTTGTGGAGTACAGTGTCTCAGCAGAGAGCACCACCATGGTTGGGCCTCCCGTGGGTTTTGGCTAGGTCAGCAGGTGTCATGGAACATAAAGTGCTGAATTACAACATGGCTGGCTGACCTGGTGGCTTGAGCATCACACCAGGTATGTGTGTGTATGTGCCCAAAAATCCTAAGGGGGGAATGGAGAAGGGATTGTGGCATGGCCAACCACTTGGGGTGTGACTTTTTACTTTCTCTTTCTCTAATGAGAGCATGCACCCTAGAGAAAAACCTAAAAAAAAAA